CATTAAATTGTTTCTTCTCTCGGATTTTTCTTAGTGGCAGACGTATTCCTTTTCAATTGCTACAACTGGTGATAGTCCCCAAAGAAAGATGTCTTCGATCAATCGACCAAAGAAATGGCATTTGATAACAAGGCTTTTGCTAGATAGGCACCCAGTTATCATATCATTTGGAAGCAAGAGAAATCTTTGGTCCACTTGAAGAGAAACCATGACGTGGCTACATAACTGCTTTACAGGGCTGAAACAGTTACTTGACATATCATAAGATCATTCTCTTTTTGCATATTCACAGAAACGAAGTGTTCTACAAATCATTGTATGGGGGGATCGTATTAAACTATCGAGTCAATGTAATTATTTAATGAAGTTGTAAGAGATACAATTTATTATAGTATATATTTTCCATACTTATTATCTTAATCAATATAATGAGGTCTAAGTAATATACATTGAAGTATGGCTTATTTGTTGGTGAATACAAATTGATAAAGGTGTATCAATTTATGACTAAAAAGAAACGTTCACAGAAGCAAACTGAAACTGAAACTGTATTAATGCCAAGTTGTTGGTTGGAATAATGTGTTCAAGACATTTACATAAAAAGTACTTCAGTGGTGTCTGAAGAAAACAAGAGGTGTGAACATGATGTTTAATGTGCTGCTTTAACAGGAATATTCGACTCGCATGACATAGATGAAAAGTATTTGTTTATTTGTTGTTAAACGTGAAGCTGCACAAAAGCTATGTGCTATGCTCACAGCGGGTATCGAAACCCAATTCTTAGCGTTAGAAACCCAAAGTTTTACCGCTGAGCCTCCGTGGGGCGTATGAAAAGTAAACCTTATACCGTGTACAAAGAATTACAATTCCATTGTCAAGCTGATCAGAATATATGTATATGAAATACTTCAGTAAAAGAAATAGTTAAAATGACAAATAGACCTGGCATGGTCAGGTGGTTAAGGCGCTTGATTCGTAATCTGAGGGTTGCAGGTTCAAATCCCGCCCCACCAAACATACTCGCCCTTTCAGCCGTGGGGTGTTATAATGTGACGGTCAATCTCATTATTCGTTGGTAAAAGAGAAACCCAGGAGTTGGCGGTGGGTGACATGAAGACTAGCTGCCTTCCCTCTAGTCTTTCACAGTTAAATTGGGGACGGCTAGCGCAGGTAGCCCTCGTGTAGCTTTGCGCGAGATTCAAAAACAAACAAATAATAAAATGAGAACTTAGAGTAAGAAATATCTTGCTTGTTTAAAATATTTTACATTTTTGTGGTGGCAGAAGTTTTAGACTACTAAATGAACAAGGACTTGGTTTATTTTGTTCGTTTGAAATTTTCGTTCATTCTACACAAAAGATATTTGCGTAGAGTCGTCCCTAATTTTAAAATGATGGGCTATAAGGAAGGAAGCTGTTCAACAACATCCAATGCCAACTTTTAGGGTACTCACTGTCACTCTTATAGCGCACCAACAGCTTCATTAAAGTGCGGAAGAGTTTTTTGGCAATGGGACGTGAACCCTGAAACCTCGGGTTTACAGTCCGAGCTCTTACGCAACAATGCCGTGTTTGTTCCTCCACACTCAATAACAAGACACAGGGTAATAAAGCATTTATGTTGTACTGATTTTGTTCTGCCAAAGAGAAATAACATAGTATATATCTATCTCTGAACTTCTCTTTAATTTTCATTTATTGTGCCAAAGATTGTTTACAGTTTTCTTTATGTTCAGCTTATAATAGTGGTTCCCAAATCTACGGTCTCGAGCTTGGCTAAAAAAAAAAAGAAAAAAAGTCATACGTGGCAAAAGAAAAGCCGGCTGAAATACACTTTCGAACAGATGGGGTCGCACAGATTTGGGTCAGCGCTGCAAAAAAGTTTGAGAACCGCCAGCTTAGAGCACTTTTAAAATAATTAGTTTTGTCGAAGAAAACAAAGATAATGTTATTGTTCAAAAGTTGGAATTAACATTTAAGATTGTATACATTAGAATCCCAGTATATAACTAGAGTGACATTTAGTAGAGCGCAAACCGCCGTCACGCAGCGTTGATAATATTCGGCTCTCAAAAAATATGAAAATGTGTCCGTTCGGTTAATATCAACGGACATGGACCATTTTTAATAGAACAATGAAGAATGATATTCTACATATGTCCACCAAGTTTCATCAAAATCTGTTCATTTTGGACTGAGTTATAGAGCAAAAATAGTGTGAAAAATCGGTCCCTATGTTAACAGATAGAGATTTTTTGGATTTTCGTGACCTTGCTATGACTTTGAACCACTACAAATTAATCGTTTCTAATTTGGATCATAGCCTAAACGTATACCAACTTTCGTCCAAATTTATTCAGCCAGTTTCGACAAATCCTGCTGACAAACTCACAGGGGTGAAAACATAACCTTCAGTGGCGGAGGTAATGATAACAATACTGTTAGGGTTGAAAACATAACCTTCGGTGGCGAAGGTAATGACAACAATACTGTTTGTTTCTAATAATCTTCAGTTCCATACTCTCCTAAATCACACTTTAATCATTCAGACGTTTACATTCAGAATTAAGGTTTTTGAGATTGTTACCTTAGCTCTTGTGCATGATTTCATTTGATAGTAGTTGATTTTCACGACGAGCTATGCAAATCTAGGAATATTCTAAGCTTAGATAATATACAGAGGTCTTCGCGGCAATCTCGTCTTATATCATCATGTGAACATTTAGAAAAAAAGCATACACCCCAATTATTTAGACCTGAACTTTAACATTTGAATTAAACCTTAGTAATTTACTACATCACCTATTTGAGGTCCTCTCTACCCAATTGTTTGTAATTAAGCACAAAGCTACACGTTGTAAGTCCTCAGACTTACCGCTGTGCCACTGGGGGGCCCCCAGATTCCGAAGCACCATTTCAAGACAACCTCTACTCTGGTTCTGAAAGTTTTTAACGTGTATCGACTTTGTTCTTCCAAATAAATGTATAAGCAAAATAGTAAAAACAAACATATCCTAACGTTAATCGAATAGGTGAGAGTGCATAACGATGAATCGCTCTTTCAGCCAGCCAATGAGAGATTTCTGTGAGCGTGAGTTGATCCAAGCACTTTAAATGTTTGATCAACTGTTTTAGAACAGTCTTGTTTCTTAACTATCAAAATTGTACCTGATCATAATAAGCTGTAATAGTCTATTAGAAATTGGGTTTAGATATAAAAAAAATAAGATAGATATAATTTCACTGTAGTGTTATCGTGACGCATGTTTTATGCAACATACTAAAATTTGGACACAATTGAGACAAGAAAAAGTGTTATTTTGTGTGTGTGGTGGTGATGATGAAGGCAGATATATGGGATATAAAACTCTCAATTCGATTTCGGGAATTATGTGGGTCATAGATCAATAAGTATTAGGTTGATAGAACTAAATTCTGGTTGTTTTAATAAGAATTACATATCTACCATTCACCACCAATAGTCTGGTTGTTTTAATAAGATATTACATATCTACCATTCACCACCAATAGTCTGGTTGTTTTAATAAGAT